GTCCGGTGCAAAAACGCATGATCGCACGGGCCCGCCCGGTGCGTTCCAGCCTGGGTTGCATTTGCACACATGCAAGAACGCATGATGGGTTTTGCACAGAAAGATTTGCAAAACTTTTCCTAGTAAATCTTTTTATCATTTTGCTTCAGCATTAAATCGCACTTCGTCTAGACAAAATGCTACGTTAGTAAGGTAAAAGTTACGGAGCATTACCCGCAGTAACTATAATTCTGCACTGAATTTGAGCGAAAAAAGAAATGCTAAGAAAAAGCTTAGATAAGCAGTTAGCACTTCACTTATATTTCCTTTGTACTAAGCGTCAGTATTACTGATTACGGATAATGCCACTGAAAACTGCTGGAAGGAAAGGACAGCCAAGGCAAAATATGGATCTATCGTTTACTTTGCCCAGCACATCTCTAGAGCTTCCACTAATGCAGCTGAGTGGAGAATCGAAAAAATTTCACCGGAAATAATAGAATAAGAGATAAGGAATTGGAATGAGTGTCATGTGCAAGAAAAAATTTCTGGATGCAGTCTGTGTTTTGTCCTTTGGCTGTGAACACAGACAGAGTAGGAATGGAATTATCAGTAACAGCCTCCTATCTGTCGCGTGTTGAACATTCTTGTGTCGATATTTGAGAAATAACGATTCAGGAAATTTTTTCAGCCACATTAAAGTTTTAAATTTATTGAAATGCAGCAATATGCATTAGAGCTGCCAGGTGATTGCTGTGCGCGTAATTCCTTCAGCTTAACGAAAACTGGAAAAAGGAGGAACCACAAGTAAGAAATTACTTTACGAAAAGTTTCTATTACAAAACGGTTCTGCGAACAAAAAAAAAAATGAAATTGATGAAAGACTAAGAAAATGTTTCGCTTTGCAGGAAACATCAACGCGATCACCGGATGAAGATCATATTCACATCAGATTCTTTTAATTGAGCTTATGATAAGGTAAAGGAAACAGAACTGGATATTAACAAAGAACGTGCCATCCTATGAAAAATTCTGAAGGATTCCTGCAGGTGGTAAATAGTGTTGCCCTCGGTAGATGGTCTAGGGTTCGGTTTCGACGGTGGACCCATTATTAATGGCTCCTTCATGCGTTTCAAATTATAAACCGGTAGTAACAAATGCGAAGAAGTCAAAACCACGGTTAGTTTGCTTCCAAGCAATCCTTAAAAGAAGACCGATCGGCAGTTTCGTCAGCAGTTTGTTGATACC